CATAAAGTTTACTAAATATTCTTGATCGTTTTTCTTTGACTCAACAGGGAACTCGAAAGTCGAGTTCGATTTCCAAGTCCAAGTTAATTTATTTTAGAAATTATTAGCTATAGTAGTAACTATAGTTAGTAAACTATTCTGTGTAAGCAATCTAATGATTAAAAGTAAGATGAAATACACAATACTGTAGAAGACAAGATTATGAAAACACAACAAAAGGTCGCCATTATTACCTGATCTTCAAACATCGTGTAAAAAATATCAAATTACTTTAAGAACTGGGGTTAATAACACACTGGTCTCGTCTCTGTACAGTCAAAGATTATACCGTAGTCGCACAAAAACCTATCCTCACTTTTACCTGATGAAAATGAAAGTGTGACGGCGCAGGAGTTTGAAAAAAACGTCACAACGGAATCGAATCCACTTAAAAGTTACTTAGCACGATTAGAGTTGTTCAACGACTATTTTATCGGTAACACACAGGATTTATAATGGTTTACTACTACAAATTGGTTTAGTAAAAACAAATGGATGAAACCATTAAGTTTTTCAATGTTAGAGATGAAATTCTTAAGTTTTTGTTTAAAGTAGTTTGAAGGTTAAACTTTATAATATAAATTTTTGCAGTTTAGTAAAATTACTGCATACTGCAGGTTGAGGTAAAATTTATGAGAAAGTGTCACTCAGACTTTTTTTTTTCGAGGGAGAAGATCATCGAATGACTTCTCCCACCCGGGTGAGGCGAGAGGGTGTTAGACTCTTACTGACTAGAAACCATCCCGTTCCTAGTACTGCACTTAGAGCCGGAGCCCAGGCAACCCGTTAACTCTTCCGCGGCTCAAATTACTAGCATCTGCTAGTGCTGCAGTGGCATCGTGCGCGTCCCCGTATACTATTAATCTACTTCTGTTCCAAAATTTCATACCGATTCCTTCAGCCGTTTTGGCGCGAAGGAGTAACAAACACATATAACTTTGCACCCACAGCACACTGATTCATCTTTGCGCACTCATTCGAAAATTCTAGAACTAGAATCCAGATTAAATTCAATGCATTTACAATTGTATACTTCATCTAACTAAACATTGCACACGCTAAGGAAATCTGCTAATAGCGTCGTGAAGGCTGAACGTGCCTTATCGGTGCGCGCGCGCAAGGTCGATGCAAGTGCACGGTCAGGCGCATGCGTTATGATTTAGACTAGCTGGGGGTGACGTCATCGCTCCTGTTTATTGTTATATTAGTCTATGGTGTCTATGGTATTAATAGGGAAGAATTGTATAGTGAATCTTTGTGGTTTTCCTGTCTTTAAGTTATAATGTGGGATTAGAATCAATATTTTATTATTAGTATTTATGTAAGTACCTACCTACTGACTTACGTACCCATGCTGCGAGTAAATAATAATTTATATTCCTGATTTTAGTTGCACTTTTTGCTGTGAATTGTAGATCGTACTATTGTGTGACGTCATTGATTTGCGCTATTTTTAACAAAAATAATCCCATGAATATTATAATTATGCAAAAGTTTCTATGTATGTTTGTTACTCCTTCATTTCAAAGCGGCTGAAGGGATCAGGATGGAATTTGGGAGAGGGGTAGATTATGGTCTTTTTTTTCAGGGCAGAAAATCATCGAATGACTTCTCCCGCCTTGATGAGGCGGGAGGGAGTGTCAGACTTTTACTGACTAAAAACCACGTTGCGTTCCTACTCCTGCACTTCGAGCCGGAGCCCCGGTAACCCGTTAAGTTTTCCATGGCTGTGTTTCGGCATCAGCCCAATTGGGCCCCATCCGTGGTGGTCTGATGGCTCTTTGAGGCGCACGCGTAACGCGACGCGCCGCCGTACGCTCGGGTAGATTATGGTCTGGAATGTCACATAACCTACTTTTATCCTACTGGAACGCAGGCGAAGTCGGTGGAAGAAGCTGGTTTTATTAGAATAAAAGATTATACTTCCTAATACTTAAGACGTTTCATTGTACACCCATTTAATGTTTCGGTTTTAATCTGTACAGAATAATTACTTCATTGAAAGATTATGAATATTTAAGGTTTAAGCAATTTCAGTAAAATCAATTCCATATTTTAATACAAAACACTAACTACTAAATTGTGCCTTTAGCCAAATGCCACAGAGAGAGTAGATAACTAAATGTATGGGGATGACAGTGACTATATTTACGTCAATTCCATATAATTTAATTTTCTATTCTACATGTAGACAAGCCCTAAATGGCATTTGGCTACAGCTGCTGATATCAGTCAGTTGGTAAACACTAAACAGAATCATTGCACAATATCGAATTATTTGACAAACATTTATAACGTTTGATTAACTTCGCACTGATATCATTGTGGTCCTGTGCCAATAGCATACATATTTAAAACCCGATTGTTCGAATAAATTTGAAAATATGTTAAAGGGCCTGCAAAGACGAATGCCTGTTATTTATAGGGGTTATATATTATGTAGGAATCGTAGCAATAAGGTAGATGCCTAATTTTTATTTTAATGTCCGTCTGGTAGATTATTTTAAATCATTGGACACTTATTTAATTTCTTATAGAAACTAATACTTTCGACGATATATTGATTTGAAATGTCGCATTTCATTTTATACGTAGAAATGACGCTTTAGCCACTCCTAAACTTTGATTCATTTTATGTAAGTATTGTTTTATTATACGACAAAATAAAAAAATACGTGTCTAATATTTTTTTATTACCTAACTTACGGACTAATTAGATTTTTAATTTTCATGCCCTGTCATCATCCCCATTTAATTTTCTATTCTACATGTAGACAAGCCCTAAATGGCATTTGGCTACAGCTGCAGATATCAGTCAGTTGGTAAACAATAAACAAAATCATTGCACAATATCGAATTATTTGACAAACATTTATAACGTATGATTAACTTCGCAGTGATATCATTGTGGTCCTGTGCCAATAGCATACATATTTAGGTAAAACCCGATTGTCCGAATAAATTCGAAAATATGTTAAAGAGCCTGCAAAGACGAATGCCTGTTATTTATAGGGGTTATATATTATGTAGGAATCGTAGCAATAGGGTAGATGCCTAATTTTTATTTTAATATCCGTCTGGTAGATTATTTTAAATCATTGGACACGTATTTAATTTCTTACAGAAACGAATACGTTCGACGGTATATTGATTTGAAATGTCGCGTGACGTCACTTCTATGTACATTTTATACGTAGAAATGACGCTTTAGCCCTCACTCCTAAACTTTGATTCGTTTTATGTAAGCATTGTTTTATTATACGACAAAATAAAAAAAATACGTGTCTAATATTTTTTCATTACCTAACTTACGGACTAATTAGATTTTTAATTTTCATGCCCTGTCATCATCCCAATTGGCGTTCCATAGTCTCTGCCTACCCCCATGGGAGACAGGCGTGAAGTTATGTATGTATGTAATTATGCAAACAATAAATTATATGGTCAATATTTTATTACATATTTTCAAGTAAAATGATAATAACAATATAATTATAATGTTTTGTGCCAAGCAAAAATTTATCTTATTTCCTAAATATAGATACACTAATAGATACATACATTTCTAGAAATACTGATAGCAATGAGTATTATAGTTGTTGATGATTATATTCCTTTGACTCCTACTTCTCCATTTTACTTAGGGGATCTGTCTGGTGGAGTGTCGTCCCATCGGCATTTAATGATCTTGAACAGCTTATTTTGAGTCCGATGCAGCCCTGGAATTTTGAAATAGTACCACGTTAGTATTGTTACTATTTTTTTATCATCTATGGTTTTAGGGACTTTTCGTTCAGGAACAATTCAGCCTCGTAATTTTACGACCATTTCCATATACGTTAAGATCGGAGTAGTACGATAAAAAAGTACAGAATTCATAAAAAATGTCTCGTTCTTGATTGAATTTTGAGAAAAATCGGTAGTAGTTCTTGTATAACAATTATTTATTATTACTTTCTACGGTCTTTTTTGTATTGGGGGACGTACAGAGCTGCTTATTTTTTGGGGAGAAAGATACAGGGATTATGGGGTTCGTGCCATTATAAAGCCACTCTAGTGTGGTGGTTACCATCAGCACCTAGTGATTAGGGAGCACGGACGCTTCTAAATAGACCCAGCCTGCCTAGAGCCTTCAGAATTGTTTGCAACCGAATTTTAAACTAATTCTAGGACAAGTTTTCGCAATGCATTGTTATTGAACAGTTCGGAAGCTAAGCTAAACATACTTATGTTGCTAATCACTATCGTTAAAATACATACAGGCTTTATTAAAGATTAGATAAATATACGTATCTAAATGAATTCTGCTTTCAACCTCAAAGTCTAGTTGTTTACGTGTCCGAAAATTTGTGAGGTGAGGTAGCAGATCATTAGTTGCATAGAGATTGCATCAACACTTTATTACTTTCTTCTACTTACTGTTTCGATACAAAATTAACTCACACTTAAGACATATGCACTAACAACAATAAAATTAAAAAACTTACGACTGCACACGTTGTGTAAATAAAAGAAAATAGCGAACTGTATTCTATCCATCGTGTTACGTTAATACTTTACTTGATATTCACTGATATTAAAACTGTTTTGGGAATAAAATAAACCAGAGACTAGTAAACAATAAAATCCCTTCGTTTTGATTCATCAAATATGGCGGAATCGATCGCCCGCCAAAGGATTATCGCGCATGCGTGAAATATACGCATGCGCGGAATCCTTTAACCGCCGAAATGAAATGTCACCCTCGTTACTGTCAAAATATCCTTTCTCCCTTTTTTATTTACTCTGATTTTAGTTGTGAAAGTGAGATAGCAATTTTATAAGGGTGACTATTGTATTAAGTTGGATTTTTGTTTCTGTTCACACATGGTAGTTGTCATGTCATGCCATCACAGTTGCCAGCTGGACGTTTGTATTTGTGTTTGTTTACAATAATTTCATAGTGATTTTTATTGTTCTAGTGGGAGAATACCTGATTACGAATATACCGGTAAGTTTTAATACCTTTTAGTAGGTACCCTTACTATAATTTCACTAAGACTGTAAAAGTATAAGCTTGTTAAATTCGTATAAGTCTTTTGGCGAAAGATATCTAATATTTTCATGTAGGTACTTTCATGGTACGGTACATAATATTATCTTATAGTAACTTTAGTTTATGTACCTAGTTTTAATTACCCTATCCACGTTATTTAGGATAAATATGTAAGCAGATTTTAATTGGCAATACAATTCCTTATATCAACAGCAATAAGGGCGAATTTCGAGCTGAGAGTTACTTTGTTGTTGATGTTGACACGAGGTTCCGTAGTATCGAGATTTTCTCACGAAGCTTGCTTGTCTGTGGTCTGTGGAGCAAAGGTTTATTCAGGTCCAGTTCTAAACGCATGCCTGCATAAATAGATTCACATGACCTAGAAACCTTCGTATTCTAGAAATTTCGCTTATACTAGCTTTTTGTAGGCAATTTTTTGGTTGACAACCGCAAAATTGCCTGGTCAAGGCTTTTTAATATTTGTAAGTCTTCGACAGTTTTTAAAACAGTACAAATATTATATTTCTTCATTGACCAGATGGTTTGATTCTCACTGATATTATCGGTATGTGAAATCCCAAATATTTAAAACCTCCAACCGACTATAACTATGACGACACAGCAAACGTGCGCACACGCAGCTTTCACTACGAAATAAAAAAATAAAGCCCAAAAGGAATGTATGAAGTTACCGTTAGATCGAACAAGTTCTTCTAGTTAAGGAGTTTATTACTTTTTGGATTATAAAATTTTGAAGACCATAAATATAATATTGCACCTGTTATTATGTATAGGGATGTACAGAGATGTATTTATTATGCGTCTGTCTTTGACAGATTTTAATATTGTATTAAGAAAATCTTCAGCAATTTCTGAACTTGGTGAGAGAATTGCACCATCTAATTTGCAAGAAGCGAAAGTGCTTTAGGGAGCAGTTCGATTACAGTGTCGAGTATTATCATTCACGTATATGTCCCAATTGGTTTTTGGGTTGACATTGAGTCTTCACTAGACTTGACTGCATTAGAGTATTTTATGAAGTATGATATTAATTTTTTATAAGCATCTCATCAGATACTTGAAAAAATAATCAGGAATCATCAGCTATAACGACTGTCATGGTTGATTGTATGACAACGGGGACCCACAACTTAAGACGTGCCGTACGTCTTAGAAATAATCAAGGAGGATCGCTAACAAAGATAATTATTGTACCTCTAATATGTCCCTCTGTTTATTTACTGTCTCATTGTTAACCAAAGTCTTTCACAAGTCTCCCTCGTAAATCAAAAGCCCTTTCACAAGACACCACGCAACTGCCTAAACAATGTGCCACCCGGAAGAGGATGTCATATCGTCTACACTGCAAACAAACCATAGATACGTAGTAATCGGCCATTCCCCCCATTTTAAGGTGTATAGATAAGAGATGCGCACGCGCTTCATCTTGGACCGCTTTTTTATCGGAGTTTGGGGATTATAAAAGGTAATTTATGGTATTAATGATAGCGGTAGCGCCGGTTGGGGTTGTAGGAGATCATGCCGACATTAGAGATAGTCTCAAAAAAGGACAGGTGCGGATGAGTATGTATCTATTCTTAACAACCGTACTTGCATGAATAGTAGTATCTTCCGATATATCAAAATACATAATAGTGTGATCTATCAGTTATTGATTTTCGACTCTGAGTATAATGTGTGTGTTTTTAAACGCATTCATATCCATATCCATCATTTTATAAGACAAAATATAGCATGGTGTAACATTAAAAACTCTGCTGTACGAATCGTGCATTGGGTTCTGTGGTTTCCTTCTCCTTATGGGACAAAGGCGTCAGTTTATGTGTATGTATGTTTGTATGTTTGGGGATATGAAGGAATGGGGGAGTGGTATCGTGCAGTGACAGTCCGTGTATGCTAGGGGTCTTATCATTGTTTTGTTTATCATGGACGTTGTGAGCACGTGTATTCCCATTTTTTTTCTATTTCTAGGAGGGTTTTGGATATTTTTTTTGATGAATAACGATTACTGTTACTTATGTTTCAATGTCATGTACAGTGGGGTAAACAGTTTTGTATTTAAATAGGTAACGAGATGTCCTACCTAAATCAGCAATAGATTTTTGGGAATCGATATTTAGGATCAGACATTTCTTTAATACTATCGAAAAATTTCCTAATAAAAAACGAACACTTCCAAAAGTTTTATGTTGAAGTTAAGCAAGTGTAATTCTTAAGCACAGCAGCCATGATTAAGCTAAAACCTGTTTTCAAATAACCAATTCAAGACAATAGTGTATCTGGAATACTTTTAATACTGCTCAGCACTTCATAGTTAATCCTATTTATTCTATCTTTAATGTATTCTCTAGGTCTAGTTATGTAGGGCCAATAACAATGCAAATATCAAACACAACATTCCAGCGTCACGCCTACAAAGAATACATAATACTGACTATCAATCTGCGAGTTGTCTGATCAATCTCGTTTATGAAGTGGATACATTATTGAGTATGAAGTTATAGTGTTTATGCATGAGTTAGTTAAGTTATAAGTTGTTAATTCTGTTTTCGGATTAGATTAGATGTTTGTAGATACAGTGGACACATGTTATCGTTCATGTCATTCTTTAAATGTAGATCATTTCGTTTTTCGAGACAAAGTCAATAAATTCATCATAATCATCATCAACGGCCTATAAATACCCGCTGCTGCTCCAAGCCTCCTTACACGGAGAAGTTTTTCAGAGTTAACCACCACGCTTGTTCAAAGCGGGTTAGCGATATCAAACTTATAATAGAAATTATAAGCTCAGGTTTCCCCACGATGTTTTCCTTCACCGTTTGCAGTGGTGTCTGAATAATCTTAGAACGTATATACAACTCGGATAAAGTCACATTGGTACTAGCCGTTGGTAGGTTTTGAATCGGCAACCTCATGCGGCTATCTTTAACCTCTGGGCCATCACGACTCTAATGACCACAAAGTCAATAGGTTCATTCATTTCGATATTCCCGATTATGGCTTAGAGTTAGGAGTTGTTTTTGGGCATTGTAAATCTTTACGCCTCGTTTAAGAAGCTAACAAACTAATGATAACAATATCAGATGAAAGTGGCAGTTTCGCAGAAAAGTTAGATTGATTCTTTATGGTGATTTGTGTTCCTGTCTTTATTTGTTTTGTTCTTATGTTCACGTTTTGTTTTTCCCTACTATTTATGTTCTGATTGTAAGTATCAATTGTCTTTATTGCTCGTATCGTCAATTTTAAGTTTAATATTTAATTTGTCTCCGATACTAATTCTTCTTAGTTATTTTGAATCCATGTCAATGGTTGGATTTGCCTGTCTCTGATCATAGTGATTTGTAAACCATTAAGTATATACATATGTAAAGCATGTTGTGCTTACCTATAATTTATAGATTGATGCACTAGTATTTAAGTTTTCGTTAATGTAACCCTATATTGTATTAGTGTAATCAATTGTTGGTGAGCCAAATCAATAAAAAAATGAAAGGTAGTCTTATGAAGGAACACTTATTCTTATACCCCTGCACAGAATAAGAGCAATCAAACTTTGTCTAAGTGGGCAATGATTTTACACGTTCGCTACATATCAGTCGACACCAGCCGTCTGAGTTCATAGCACATTCTCAGAATATTATCGAGACCACTTCACTTTGATAAACTAATGAGCTAAGCACTTGAGTTTAAAATAATACAACATTCTTTTGTTTATCAATATTGACTTATACACCGATTACGCATCTGTAACTCTTGTGTTGTTGTGAGTATCCATGGATTGGATAGAGTTAGTTACTTACCATCAGGCGATCTGTTGAAGCCTACTTTATATAAATCTAATAAACTAAGGGCCTTTAGCCAAATGCCATCCACTTTAGCGCTCATCTACAGAGAGAGAGAGAGTAAAAATCAAAATGCATGGAGATGACTCTGACAAGTATCAAAATTTACGTCAATTCCATATAATTTGATTTTCTATTCTACATATAGACAAGCGCTAAATGGCATTTGGCTACAGCTGAAGGAAAGAATTAATTGAATAGATTTGAACAGTACTGAACTGATATGAAAAATGTTTTCATCATTGGTACTATATATGGTATAACTTACTTTTCATTAACATTAACGGTACTTTTGCTACCAATATTTTTACGGGAACGTTGACACTTAATCAAAAATTGGCGATGATAAAACTGCCTACAGATTTTGAGACCTATTTCTTTAAACTAGCTTTTAAGGACTGCCTCAATGGCCGAGTGGTTGCAAGTGCGACTGCTGGGCAAGGGGTCTCGGGTTCGATTCCCGGGTCGGGCAAAGTATTATTATTAAAGCCCGGTATATGGCAATAGGCTCGGCCCTTATGACTCATATATAGTGAAAAGTGGGTGTTACATTGTACAGTGGCATTAAGTGCGGTAATGTGCACTTAGAAAAGCGATGAGCATATAGCGATAGCATGAGCAGCGTGCGCGGTCGCTCATGAGGAAGAACCCCTCTGTGGTTCGAAACTAGTAGAGCTTTTCTCAGTATATTCACGTGAGTAACCCGCGATTTCTAGTTAAATTAGTATGTCTCACGATAGTTATTATAAAAACAAACGGCGTGATGTTATGTGATGTTATCTTTAAACTAGATCCCATATTTAAGTAGAATATTATTTAAAAACTTAACTGATTTCTAAACATAGAAAACGAATTCTTCAAGTCAGTAAATTGGTATCTAAATACGTACAAACAAAGCTGTTACATTATTATTTAAATATACTGAAATTACTGCATAAATGTGGGCTTAAGGACTGAGAACTAGATGGATCGAATTTACCTTGGTTTTCTTAAGTAGGAAGTCAGTATCCTTTCTGATTATGCGAATATTAATACTTAAGTAAAATATTTATGTTATTTAGTTTGTAATTTTATGTATTTGTTAATCGC